AAGACTACTCACGTGTATAAGACTACCCCATGTATAGGACTACTCCTGCGTATAAGACGACCCCTGACTTTTGAGAAAATGTTCTTGGGTTAAAAAGTAGTCTTATACACCAGAACATACGATACTTGTATAGTTTGTCATGGCATATAATTCCTCACCTCTAGGTTATTTTCCATACACTGTTAAGGATATGGGAAGGCCATAAATTATCTTCCCTTGTTTTCATTTGTTTTCTTCAACTGACAGCATTAGACTGTTAGAAGTATACAGACACACACTGCAGAAGATCAACATTTTTTGTGGATTAACATCTTTACCTGCAGTTCTATTTCCAAGAGAAAATAGAAGATCAACATTTTTGTGGACTAACATCTTCACCTGCAGTTCTGTTCTCAAGAGAGAGAACAGAGAAAGACCTGGATTATATAATCCATGCCCAGAAGATGAAACTGATGAAATTATCTCTAAATATCCTTAAAACAGACCTATTAGATTAGATCTCTTTTAGGGGCATTCAATTGTAATTGTAATCTACTTTGGAAATAAACCGTGCACCAAAACATTGTGCATAACTATATTGAGAGTAATATAAACTTACTCTCCTTGTGAATTCCTTGTTGCTCCCTTAGTCCTATTAAACAGGTTAATTATCTTCATCAAGTGTAGTTTATTTTGTTTGAAAATCTTACTTTAAAAAATAGATTACATACTGTAAATTTCAGCAAAAACGTGCATATTAGAACAATGAAGTCATCTACGCTTCTGTCAAAGGCACAGAAAATATGTATTTGAAAATACGTCTTTTATCAAGGCCTAAGATTCATACACCACAACAACAAGATTCATACACCACAAAGAGTATTTTTATATTTACAAAAGGAACCTCAAAATATAAACTGTTACTCACCATAAACATGTACAATGAAAACATGTAACTAAAATAAGCTAATGTAAACAAGCCTCAATAATATCAGCTGGAGGCTGACCTAGTTGCCGGTATCTTTAAGACAGTAAACATATTGGGGCTGCATTCCTTCAACTGTTAGAGTCACCAAAACAATTCTGTACACAAAATACCATCTTGGTTTATAGATTTTGTGGAACAGTATTCTTACTTTCCCCTCGATGCTAAGGCCCCTTCTAGACTGCCCTATATCCCAGGATCTGATCCCAGGTTATCTGCTTTAAACTGGATAACATGAGTCTCCACTGTCAGATAATACAGTGTGGAAGTGGCCTTAATTTTCCACGTGTGGGATTTTGTTTTTAAAAATGTTCTTAGTCAGGTGAGCTCTACTTGCAGTCTGGAGCAGCATTGTTTATTCCTTCTCTGAGAATAATCATGAGGAACTTCCTGAAAAGATCTGTTCACTACAAGGAGAGTGATAAAGGAGGTGAAACAGAGGCTGAGGTTGGTTTTTTAATGGAAAATTACAAAGATTTTATTGTTTAGTCATGGTCTGTGACATTTATATGCTTATTAAAGGTTGAGAAAATGTGAAAGCATAAGGTGGTGATAGTGTTATATACAAGTTTCAAATTTTACAAACTGCTGTATAACCACGATACTTTCAGATACAAATGCTTCATATAGGTTTCCCCAACAAGATACATATGAATCATGTAAAATACTGGTATCACATGATTTCTTATAAAAGGAATGAGACCCCTCCCTGATCTTCAGTTAATAAAACTGTATACTAATAAACTGTATATTAATGCTCTAATGCTTTTATGTCATGCTGCTTTGAGTCCCCTTTGTAGTATAAATAAATATAATGATAATGATAATAATAATAATAATACTATTTTCTTTCTTGATACTATGACACCTGCCCTACAGGCAGGAGGGAGGGACATTTATAGTCTCAATGAGGCACAGGATTATTTACATTAACAGTCCCCTTTAAAAATCAACAAACCCCTTACAGTTTTGTGTGATCTGAACTTTTGAATTATATGTTTTTATTCTTCTGGGAAAAGCATATTCTGTATATGTTGAGTTTGGTTTTTTAAAAATCCCTAATATTTTACTCGCCATTCTCTTTCTAGCTGGGCTTGATAAGGACAAGTCAACTTTAGTTTTAGAGTTTGCAACACTACACAAAAGTCTCCTAAGTGGTTCCTCCCATAGCATAGGCTGTCCTAGACACTGGTTCTACAGTCAGGCCCCTTCCACACAGGTGTATAAAATCCACATTGAACTGGATTATATGGCAGTGAGGACTCAGATAATCCAGATCAAAACCAATATTGTGGATTATCTGCCTTGATATTCTGAATTATTTGGCTGGGTGGAAAGGTCCTCAATGACTACTGCAAGATAAAGACTGCAACACAAACACCCTTGTGGTGCATGAAAGGTTATTTTCTCCCAGCAAAAGAAACCTTTTTTTCAAGGGACTATGCCTGCACAATAGCTTCCTGCTTGAGTGTGACTTTATGCTGACATTTCTGCAAAACACTTTTGCCTTGTGTTTACCAAATAAAAGTTCAAACAGCTGAACTAGAGGAACCAGTCTTTTTTTTTTTTTCACAATCTAGTTATATTATGTTACAGTGAACTGTTGTTCACTTTGGCATTTGGAAAGACACCTCTCCCTTTTCCCCTTGGCATTGGTAACTGTCCTTTTGTGATGGAGAACACCTTTCTCTTGGTCCCACTTTAATCTCAAGCTCAGTTGGTAGGAATGAGATAGTGGGCCTTCTCAGTGGCTACTCCAGAAGTCTGAGACTCCCTTCTTCCCAGGGAAACCAGAATGGCCTCCTCCCCCCTGCCCTTCCGGGCGTCCCCTGAGCAACGTCCTTGCAGACGGCCAATTCTCTCACACCAGAAGTGACTCACAGTTTTCTCAAGTTGCTCCTAACACGACAAAAAACAAACAAACAAACACCTGTGAATTTTTTAAGTGCTGTTTGCGCAGCAGGTTAAACCACTAAGCTGCTGAATCTGCTGACCAAAAAGTAATTGGTTCGAATCCGGGGAGCAGAGTGAGCTCCCACTGTTAGTTCCAGCTTCTGCCAATCTAGCAGTTCAAAAACATGCAAATGTGAGTAGATCGGTGGGAAGATAATGGTGCTCCATGCAGTAATGCCATGTAACCTAGGAGGTGTCTATGGACAATGCCAGCTCTTCAGCTAAGAAATTGATATGAGCACCACCCACTAGACTTAATGTCAAGGAGAAACCTTTACCTTTACCTACCTATGAATTCAATTCTATTTTAATGTTTGCATTTTTCTATATTTTCAATTGTATACTAATGCTTTTATGTTAAGATATTTTCAGTCCCCTTCGGGGTATAAATAAATATAATAATGTGTTGTTGAAGGCTTTTACGGCCAGAATCACTGGGTTGCTGTGAGTTTTCCAAGCTGTCTGGCATAGATGTGGGTGAAATGTCAGGAGAGAATGCTTCTGGAACATGGCCAGACAGCCCGGAAAACTCAAAGCAACCCAAATATAATAATAATGATGATTATAATATAATTTTCTTCTTTGATCTCTGACACTTGCTCCTTCAGCCCTTTCCTCCTGTTTGAGGTAGACCTTCCTTCCTTCAAGAAGACATGTCCTACCTTCTCTCCTGACGTTTCACCCACACCTATGAGGCTGCCTGCCATAGATATAATAATATAATGTAATATAATATATTGTACATACATATAATATTTATAATATTATAATGTAATGCAATATAATACTAATAATATTAATATTATGTTATAATTATATATTTATATTACATGTAATATTACTAATAATATTACAATATAATAGTATAGTTGTTGTTTTGTCGTGTCAGGAGCGACTTGAGAAACTGCAAGTCGCTTCTGATGTGAGAGAATTGGCCGTGTGCAAGGACGTTGCCCAGGGGATGCCCGGATGATTTGATGTTTTTATCATCCTTGTGGGAGGCTTCTCTCATGTCCCCGCACGAGGAGCTGGAGTCAATAGAGGGAGCTCATCCGCCTCTCCCCGGATTCGAACCTGCGACCTTTCGGTCTTCAGTCCTGCCGGCACAGGGGTTTAACCCACTGTGCCATCGGAGGTTCCTAATAGTATAGTACAATATAGTAATATTTAATTCTGATATTGTACTATACTAATAATATAGTATATTGTATGTATATATATCTTGTAAGCCGCTTTGAGTCCCTTTTGGGGTGAGAAGGGCAGAATATAAATGTTGTAAATAAATAAATAGATGTGGGGAAAACGTCAAGAGAGAATGCTTCTGGAACATGGCCAGAGAGCTCGGAAAACTCACAGCAATCCAAATATAATAATATAATAATAATATTATTTTCTTCCTTGATCCTTGATCCTCTGACACCTGCTCCTGTTTGAGGTAGAGCTTCCTTCCTTTATGAAGACATGTCTTACCCTCCTATCAGCTTTGCAAAGGAACGGGAATCTCTCACAGAGGACAGATTTCGAAATGAAGGAAGGCGAGGAAGAATAGGCAAAACATTCACACTATGCTGGCATTTGGAGTCTGGAAGAAGAACTCCATGGACTGTGGAGCCAGTGTAAACCTGAAAGGAGAACCTTTCCACCAGCAGATGAGCAGTAAACATAAAACAGAGAGCTGTTGAGTGCTGAAAGAAAGTCCTCCATGTGGTATGATTGCTATGAAGGGAAGCCAGTCATAATTATTCCTATAATACAGAGGTGGGAGCTACAGATGGGAGTCTAGAACACAATAGGTTGTCAAATGTGTAGGTCAGTATAGTGTAGGTCAGGTAGGGCCAAACTCGGGCCCTCCAGGTGTTTTGGACTTCAACTCCCATATTCCTAACAGCCTCAGGCCCCTTCCTTTTCCCCCTCAGCCGCTTAAGCGGCTGAGGGGGAAAAGGAAGGGGCCTGAGGCTGTTAGGAATTATGGGAGTTGAAGTCCAAAACACCAGAGGGGCCCAAGTTGGCCCATGCCTGCCTTAAGAGGATTCTGCCTTCCTCCCTCTCTCCCTGCCACTCACTCACTCTCTCACTCACTCACCCATGAGCGCCCTGAGGTGCTTGAGGCGCGTGAGGACATCCTTCCGTGGGTCCAGCGCCTTCTGGGCGGACTTCTTGACATCCGCGTGGCCCCTCCGCGAGAACATCCTGAGGGGCTCCTTCTGCACCGTCGCCCTCCTCCTCCTCCTCCTCCTGAGCCAGGCTCGGCTTCTGTGAGGGAAAAGGGCGGGCTCCCTGAGGCAGCGCCCTCTAGAGGCGGAGGCGCAGAGGCGGAAGGAAGGAAGGAAGGAAGAAGCACCGCCGCCTCTTTGTTCTCCCCTTCTCTCTCTCTCTAAGCCTCCCTCCTCGTCTCCAGGCTTCGAAGGCCCGCTCCACCAAGGCAGGAGGCCTCCCTCTACCTGAGCGCCCGCCTCTGGAATGATCTCGGAACTACCATGCCCAAGGTGCTGCAAAGGGCGGGCGGGCGGGCGGCTAACTGGCGCGGGGCATGCTGGGAGGTGTAGTCTTCTGCTTCTTCCCCCGCGGCGCCCTGGTCCCTCGCGCGCACTCCCCCCCCCCCTCGCGCGCGCCCGCCCGCCCGCCACTACTACCTGGCGGTGGCCTCCTTTGCGCATGTGCAGCAAGGCTAGGTAGCCGGCTGAGGGTTCTTCCAGACAGGCACAGAACCCAGAATATCCCCACAAGATCTGCTTTGAGCTGAATCCACACTGCCATATATCCCAGTTCAAAGCAGATAATGTGGGATTTTATTTAGCTGTGCGTGGAAGGGGCCACAGGGCTCTTCTAGAGGCCTTCCACACAGCCCTATATCCCAGAATATCAAGGCAGGAAATCCCACACCGAGTGTGAACTCAGATAAACCAGTTCAAAGCAGATATTGTGGGGATTTCTACCTTGATATTCATAGAATCATAGAATCAAAGAGTTGGAAGAGTCCAACCCCCTGCCAAGAAGCAGGAATATTGCATTCAGATCACCCCTGACAGATGGCCATCCAGCCTCTGTTTAAAAGCTTCCAAAGAAGGAGCCTCCACCACACTCCGGGACAGAGAGTTCCACTGCTGAACAGCTCTCACAGTCAGGAAGTTCTTCCTCATGTTCAGATGGAATCTCCTCTCTTGTAGTTTGAAGCCATTGTTCCGCGTCCTAGTCTCCTGGGAAGCAGAAAACAAGCTTGCTCCCTCTGGGATATAGGGCTGTGTGAAAGGGCCCCCAGACAGTCCCCATTGTGGACTCTGATAACCCAGTTCAAAGCAGATATTGTGGGGTTTTCTGCCTTGATATTCTGGGATATAGGGCTGTGTGGAAGGTCCCCAGACAGGACCTGTATCCCAGGATCTGATCCTAGGTTTTCTGCTTCAAACTGGAATATGTAAGTCCCCATTGTGGACTCTGATAACCCAGTTCAAAGCAGATATTGTGGGGTTTTCTGCCTTGATGTTCTGGGCCCTTCCACACAGCCATATAACCCAGAACATCTAGGCAAACCCCCCCCCCCACAATATCTGCTTTGAACTGGGTTATCTGAGTCCACACTGCCATCTATCCCAGTTCAAAGCTGATAATGTGGGATTTTATTTAGCTGTGTGGAAGGGGCCACAGGGCAGATATTGTGGGATTTTATTCTGCTGTGTGAAAGGGGCCTCTGGGGTCCCTTCCACACAGTCCTATGTCACAGAATATCAAGGCAGAAAGTCCCACATTATCTAAGTGTGGACTCAGATAACCCAGTTAAAAGCAGATATTGTGGGATGTTCTGCCTTGATATTCTGTGATATAGGGCTGTGTGGAAGGGCCCTGGGTTATATGGCTGTGTGGAAGGACCCACAGTAAAACTTTATTTCTTCACCATCCTATCTCATGGGGACTCAAGGCAATTCATAACACAAAAGGCAAACATTCAATACTATAAAATAGAACAATAAGCCAAAAGGGGGTGCTAGAGAGAAAATGACAGTCCATTTTATGAGGGTGGAGGGTGGGTCGAAGAAGGAAAACAACTCCCCCCTTTCCCCCCCTATTATTCACTCCACTCATGTCCCCATCATGGAAACAACCCACAGATTTTAGAACATCAGTGAGCGCTCTTGAAGAGGAGTTGTAAAAGCTCGCCAAGCAGGACCCTCCGTAGCCACGGTCCTTGATCTAAACTCAACTTCATTTTGGGATTCCAAATAAGAGATGCTGAACCTGTATTAACAGCTGAATGTCATGGTATCTGTTGTATTTTTACAGAAGGAGCTTTTAATGATTCACATGCAAACATAATAAACTAATCTTGGTCAAATTTTGTTTTTCAGCCTTCCTAGTGGCTACTCTAATTGTGTTCAGTATCTACCTAAATTATATCCTGCCTTTTCTGTGGTTGTGATACAAGATGACTTCTAGCACAGTTCTGATGAAACACAATAAATTGCATATTTTAATTTGAATAACATAAACCATTCAATTAAAAAACCAATTTAAACAATTTAAAATGCCATTGATAATAAAAAGCAGTAAAATATTAAAGAGAGCACATCAACTTAAAAACCTCAAACAATCAATTCTCTGCTCACAAAAGCACGCTAAAGTTGATGCCTAGGAAGCTCACCTAATCCCCTTTGGATGGAAGCCCCATAAACTGAGAATGTCACCAAGATGCACTGGATCTATCCCTAAAGCTGGTTGAACTCAGAAAAGTGTGGACCCAAAGTGCCTTGTAGCATGGATTAAGACAAAATACAACTAAGACAGATCATGTTGTTAAAAACCACTTTAAAATAATATTTCATAATTAAAAACAGAACTGAATTTAAAACATGCCAGCATCTAAAACATGATAAGACAAAACTGTACAGCATTTCCACATTTTAAAAAAATCAGTTGTCTTAAACATTTCTGTTTTGGAGAAGTCTCTCAAAATATGCTCCAAAACAAGACCCACTGGTGACTAGAGGCACATCGACGCTGACCATCTAATGCAGCTTGAAGCCCACTCGAACCTGTGGTGGCTAGAAAACACAGCATGAAGGGTTTACAGGGCATTACGTAAAGTTGCAAGAAAGACTGAGTTAAGTCCCTTAATGCACTTCAGTGAACCCTAAATCTAAACCACATTGCACAGCAAAATCTAAACCACGTTGCACAGCAAAATTCTGCTATGCAGAATGCAAAGTGCTTTATAGACATCCACCAACTCTGAAGCATGTTTAAAAAAAATTGAGCATGTGGGGAAAGACTGCTGGAAATTTTAAATTTTTTCCTGCCTCTTAAGCCTCTGGAGTAGTGCAGCTTCTGGAAGTGGGTTGAGTTCACCTTCTATGGTTAATGTAATCACCTTTCTGGCTTTGAACCTGCTCCAGAAATACCAATCTAACCACACAGTGAAACCATTTTCTCTTAAACCAGTTCCAAACCAACCTAAGTGTTCAGTGTGGTTGTGCCCGAAGGATTCAGCATCACTTGCAGTTGACCAACATTTTGGCCATGACAGGGCTGTCCAAGAGTTGAAAAAATCAGTGCTGTGGCCCTTCAGGCTTTGTAATGGGTTCACACTGCATGAATGACTTTATATGATTACTAATTCATGCATAGGTCCTTTCCTTTCCTTAATTCTTGTTTGTATTCACTTAGCTGTCTGCAACAATCACATTTTCAGGAAATTGCTCACATCTCAGTATTGTCTAGTGTAGCTAGCATTTTTTAAAATCATTCATATATGACAAGATGCTGGACAATCATATCTAATTCAGTGTTTTAGTACAGTTGGCAGGGCTATGATCCGCTTCATTAAAAGGAACCATTTTATGCACTGATAAAGTCCCTGACATTCCCACACTTCTTTTTGCTGACTTACTGTGACACAAGGCTTTCTGGACCAAGACATCTTTATTTGTCTATGATAGCTTGATAGTTTAACTGTTACTGGACTGTTACACTCTAAACTGTGGGGATGTTTTATGAAATAAACAAGATTGTAGATTTTCCTTGGCAAATATAATCTATGGACTATGCTGGAGGATTAATATAAGGAGGTTTAAGGCCAGCTGTACGGATGCTGATATTTTTTTAAATGCAGAAGGTGTTGTATATTTTTTGAAGGAGGTAGAAGTAAAAGAAGTCCATTGATTACTAAATATAGTTCAGGAATAAAGTTTGACTTTGTAGATATAGGAACACATTTTTAAAGGTGGCAAGACCAAGGAGGCAGGGTAAACAGAACTAGATCACCTTGTTCTTAACCTGCCAAAATGTTTAAGATGTCCTTGAGTGGCATATCAATAGCAACATCAGGATCCCTAGAAGCTACTTGGGATGAGGCCGAGTAGAAGTGGTTAACTTCACCTGATGATTGTCCTAAGGGAAAATATAAATGCCGCTGAGTCATGATCTAAATTGCCCAAAGGCGGGTATAGTTAGAAAATGAATTGTACTTACCTGACACACGTATTTTTCTTGCAACAGTATGGACTTACAAGTACACAGTGATATTGGGAAAGCAGCCAACACAGTGGAAATTTACTTGCTATATCAAGTGTCTGTGCCTCATGTGATTCTCTCTTTCCCAAGGAAAGGAGCAAGCAAACTGTTTAACACTGAATTGAACAGTGGCTAGTAGAGAGTGAACAGAGAAAAAAGAAACAGGAAATTGAGATTGAAGCTTGAGGGGAAGTGGCAGAGGAGATGGGGAAATCTAGGTCTGGAGGGGCTAAATGTCATGGAGAGTCAAAGGGGAAAACAGGAAGAAAGAGGCAGATTAGCTAAACAGGATGGTTACCATGTCCAGATCAAGAATGGAGAGCCTGTGGGTCATCTTTCCTCTTAGAAACCGGGAAGCTTCATGACAACATGAAGAGTCAAAAGTGAATATGCCTAGAGCTGCTCCCATTTACACTCATTAATTCGTTCTCATGCTCCATCCTTCCTTCCTGCTTTCTTTCTTTCCTTCCTCCTGATTTGTGCCTCAGTAGCCTCTCCTCTTCAACACTGGCTCTGCAAAACATAATTAGACTCTTCTATCAGTAACAGGAAGCCAGCTTGGTATACTATTCAACTAGGCCTCGGAAGATGTAGAAAAATTGTGTCCTTAATATAAAATGGAGAAATTAAGGTTTGTTTTGGCATTTTTGGGAGATTGGTGGTTGACTTTGTGGATGCAGATTCCATAGATACAGAGGGCTGACAGTACTTTCAGGGAAGCAGGCATGTCCAGTTGTGGCCTCCAGATCATATTGTTCCACAATACCCAGCAACTCTAGTTAGTAGAGCTAATGTTCAAAGATTATGAAAGTTGCAGTCTGGTAATACCTGAAGAGCCACTTTTGCCCACTAGAAATGTAATCCAAGAGCAGAGAGGAGTTGTTTTTGTTTTTAACGTGGGTTTTCAATTTGGAAATCAGAAGACTAGGGGCTGTTTTAAACTGACATGTAATTCAAGCCTGAACTGTTAGCTGCCCTGAGTCCCTCTGCAGAGGTTGAAATGGGACAGGATACAAATGTCGGAAATAAATAAACTGGCATCCCTGACATTGAACAGCAGATGTGTTTTCAGAAGTAAGTTTTGCTTCATTGAGTAAAGCTTACATTAGTAATAACAGGTTTAGGAATTTAGTGGAATTGATGTGTGAAACTATGGCTAGTACTGGACTCTGTATTTTGGACTGCAATTGACTACAAAAACTTAACCCACTACCACAAAATTAAAAGCAGACTTGGAAATACAATTTTCCAAGATCGGGAGGACTCTTCAACACAACTGTCTGATGCTCTGCAAAGTGCAGGGAAACTAAGCTGCTTCCAACTTTCCTCTCATTACTTCCTCAAGAGAAGCTTGCACAGCAAGTAGAAAGTGGGAGGTCGACATTCAGCCCAAGCATATCATAGAAACACCCTGAAGGTTCAAGAGAAGTTCATACGTATGTCTGTTTTCTTCGTAGTGGTGACAGCGGGTCACTGAAACTGTAGAAAGCAAATTTATAAAAACAACAATATCTAAACACTCAGGCATGGTTTAATGTAAGTCCTTATACATTTTAAATTCAGCCAGCTATGCATGCTGAGGCTCATGACGAAATCATAACATTACTTTACCTGACAATATTCAAATGCCTTTACTGACAGAAGTCAAAGAAGAAACATGATCATTTTCAATAATCCATAGTTACTCTGAGGTCTGCCCAAACACTCACTCACACTGATTAAATCTGATTATTTTCACAAACACGGTTTTTCTTTTATACATGAATTTCTGCAAGAACATTATTTGCAAAGCTACAGAAATCTGAGACTCAATTGGGATCAGGTGCCAAAATGTGGACAATGTTAAAGTTTGGTGCAGCTATGAGGGCAACTTATGCGCGGTACCAAAAAACATCATATGCTTTCTCTCAGCCACTCAGCATTATTCCCTTGCATATTCTCCCCATGTGCTGATGTAGCAAGTGCATGGTACATTTTTGCAAACAAGCAGTTATTTTCATAACCTCTGAAATGTTTGAGGTATTGTAACGAAACTTTGTACAAATTATGTCTGTCACCAGCAAAAGATTCCTACTCTCTGAGATTGATATGTAACTGTCCTTCTGTCTATCCTTCTTCCCTCCCTCCCTCCCTCTCTCTCTCTTTTGTATTTTGACTGTAAAAGCTCATGACATCTCTTTAAGCCTTTGCAGATCCCCTGTGAGGGCATCTTGCCGCCCAACCCCCCAGAAGACTACAGACCACAGGTCAATAGCCACTGCATTATTCTCTTTGAAGGCAAAACATATGCTAGACAGCCTTTATCCTCACAAATTCCACCTTGCAAATATTGAATTATTTATTTCAAGAGAATCTACTTTTTAGTGCCATAAAATCCTGAGGAAGCATAAAACCATAATCAAAATACCAGCACTCTAAGCACTCTTGCTATTCTATGATCCAGCATGATTGCCCAGATATGCTGTTCTTTCTTAGGCGATCCTTTGTTGGCCGAGTAGGATAGTCTTCCAGGATCAGTATTCTGGTGAGTCCGTAGGTGACTGTGGAGCCCTATTCTTGATCTGCATCTTCTCCCACAGCGAGGGTATTGGTTTCCAGGTAGAAGGCGGTCTTGGTTGGAGTTGGCTTGACACGCCTTCTTCTTGGCACGTTTCTCTCTTTCACCCTCCATTCGTGCCTCTTCAAATTCTGCAGCACTGCTGGTCACAGCTGACCTCCAGCTGGAGCGCTCAAGGGCCAGGGCTTCCCAGTTCTCAGTGTCTATGCCAGAGTTCTTAATGTTGGCTTTGAGCCCATCTTTGAATCTCTTTTCCTGTCCTCCAACATTCCATTTTCCACTCTTGAGTTCAGAGTAGAGCAACTGCTTTGGGAGACGGTGGTCGGGCAATCCAGACAACGTAGCTGGTCCAGCGGAGCTGATGGCGGAGGACCATCGCTTCAGTGCTGGTGGCCTTTGCTTCTTCCAGCACGCTGACATTTGTCCTCCTGTCTTCCCAAGAGATTTGCAGGATTTTCCGGAGGCAGCACTGAAGGAATCATTCCAGGAGTTGCATGTGACATCTGTAGACAGTCCACGTCTCACAGGCATATAGCAGGATTGGGAGGACAATAGCTTTATAAACAAGCACCTTGTTATCCCTACGGATGTCCCGGTCCTCAAACACTCTCTGCTTCATTCGGAAAAATGCTGCACTCGCAGAGCTCAGGCGGTGTTGTATTTCGGTGTCAATGTTGACTTTTGTGGAGAGGTGGCTGCCAAGCTAGCGGAAATGGTCAACATTTTCTAATGTTACACCATTAAGCTGTATCTCTGGCATTTGAAAGGGCATATGCTTTCCTATATGCTGTTATAGGAATCCCGGTAGTAGAGGGAGTGTAGAGAAGTAGGCAAAAATGCCTTCTTCTCCCGCTAGCTAGTCACAAAAAAAAAAACCCCTCTATAGTAGAAGAGAAAGGATGTTTCCAATGTTTGAACTGTGAAGTTCAAGCATTGAAAACATCAACTGATGAGGAAAATTGTCCAGGATATTATTATTTTTTCTGTTTCAGGAGCAACTTGAGAAACTATAAGTCCAGGACTAATTAAGATTAGTCTAGAATTAAGATTAGAGTATTTGTCTGGCTTTGGCCATGGGACCAGGACTGTGCTTTTCAAACTTTTCCTACATTCCATTCAAAGTCCCTTTTGAAAAACATACAAAATCCATCATAATATCAATGTCCAGAAATGCCAGCTCTTAAAAGTTTGCTAGCAAGCAGATTTCGGACATTCCACAGTCTAGATGTCCTGACTGAAAAAACCCTGTATTTTGTGACCACCTGTTGGTTTATGATACCAACAAGTAACAGAGCAGAGGCTCGGTTCTTATCTAAGGACTGAATTAAAGGAGATTATGGGAGGTCTGTAAGTGGATGCTTTGTGTTTTGTCAGACCAAAAGCTCAAAACGGTGGGAGGATGATTTGTATCAGCAGTATCAAATGGGACTTTGAACTCTTTCCTACCAAGTCATTTTCACAACAGAAATTGTATGGAGGTGAATAAAGGATTAAGGCTTTGACCCAAGCACAACAATCTCAATCAGAACATCTTTTCAGCCTTGAAAAAAAGAACTTTAACCACCTGTTGTGTAATTTGCACTGAGTCCATAGGCAGTTAGTGCATGTGGTTATAATCCTATGGGTATAATCAGTTTCAGATAACCACCCCAAAGCTGTTTAGGACTTTAAATTAAGCCCAAAATGATTAGGCAACCAATGTGGACAAGGCAAGGTTCATTTTAAGTGTTTCACATGATTCGTTTCAGTCAAGTGTAAGGTTAATAAATATGGACAGTGTTTTAAAGCTTGCATAACATCTATATAAATAAAAATGTAATGTTCATTTGTGGGATTAACATAACTCAAAAACCACTGGACGAATTGACACCAAATTTGGACACAATACACCTATCAGGCCAACGAGTGACCATCACTAAAAAAATAATTTTGTCATTTGGGAGTTGGAGTTGCTGGGATTAATAGTTCACCTAAAATCAAAGAGCATTCTGAACACCAATGATGGAATTGACCCAAACTTGGTACACAGTTCTCCCATGACCAACAGAAAACACTAGAAGAGCTTGGTGGGCATTGACCTTGAGTTTGGGAGTTGTAGTTCACCTACATCCATAGAACCCTTTGGATTCAAACAATGATGGATCTGGACCAAACTCGGCACTAATACTCAATATGCCCAAATATGAACACAGATGGAGTTTGGGGGAAATAGATCTTCACATTTGGGAGTTGTAGTTACTGGGATGTGTAGTTCACCTACAATCAAAGGGCATTCTGAACCCTACCAATGACAGAATTGGGGCAAACTTCCCACACAGAACACCCATGACCAACAGAAAATACTTAAGGCCATTCAGTCCAACTCCCTTCAGCAGGGCAAGAAAACATCATCAAAGCTCTCCTGACAAAGAGCCATCCAGCCATAGATATAGATAGATAGGATTCACACACACACACTTATAGTATCATAGATTTGAAAGGGACCCCTAAGGGCAGACAATTATAAGTTGGCTGTTCTAGAGTAGGCAAACCAGACAATCTCCACATCAACACTGACAAAGAAACAACAAGAAATACTGTTTACCCACATGCATAAATAAATTACATATATTAGAAACCAACACTTTCTCGTTACTTTTTTTCTAGATCACCAGGCTGGGCCACAGCAACGCGTGGCAGGGGATGGCTAGTTATTTCTAAATGTAAGTATAAATTCGTTTTACTGTAATAGAATGACAAGTCTATGCATTAAAAAACCCCAAAATAATCCAAATAATTATAGTATTCTTTCTATAGTTTAAAGCTAATCTCTTCAATTTGAAAGATTTAAAAAGTTGGCTTGGGTATGCTTTTACAGAAAGCTTCTAAGATCACTTTACTTATGATTTTCAGCATACTACAGACAGCGACAGACCACAAACTTCAGATCTTGCAAAGGTGTTTAGTAACCACAGCAGAATCCACCCAGTTCAAGAAGAGGTCATTTGGCACCGACACTCCAACTGTCTCCTTGTGACTAAGCATGGATTGTCTGTCTTAGCAAAACAATATTTCACAAACCAAACACATAAGCGTTAGGAAGAATTCACCTGTTGTTCTTGTGTAACTGGAAATTCAAGGAGAACAAAATAAACTCAGCCAAGGTTGTTCCTGATGCACTTAGATCATGTTACCTCCACCGGATTTGCTTTGTTTATTAAAATTCATATTAGACCACATATAATTTGTTTTTTTAAAAAATGGGATCACAAAGAGGAAAACAAAGTTTTGCAAAAGTGCAGCATAGAAACATAAAATGCAATGCTGGTAGGTTCAAATTAAAATCCAAAGTTTGGCAATACAAAATAGCAACTAAGCATAAAGGGCTGTGTCAAATGAAAGAGATTCTCCTAAAAACTGATGTTGACAAACGAAATTGAAATCAATTCAGTAAAAAATAAAGCTCCCAGATCTACTGTATCAACAGCCCATAGGTCCAGTGCATACTTTTCTCAGTTCTAACTACCTAGTGAAAAAGAACTACTCAACCAGGCTTATTAATTATTCATTCACTGCAGTTTTGTTATATTCTGTTTTAAGAAGTTATAATGTCAATGTTCTGACTTCCTCTGTGATAGTTCCATTTTCTTATTTTATGTATATGTATACATATTTAAAACATGTATTTAATATTTCAGCTATTAAGATTTCAGGGCATTGTACAGTCAACCCCTCAAATCATACATAAATGGATAATTAGAGATTAGCAAAGATATCTTAAAAATAAAATCCTCAATGAAAAAGCTTTACCAGGTCCAAGGAAGGGTACACTAAAGATATTTGGGTAGTCATTTATATTAATGGCTTTGTTGAACAAAATTATGGGATGGCAGGGCTTAATTTCTGGAACCATCTCCCAGCTGCAGTTAAGTTCACGCAAATGTTTTTCCTATCTGCTTTAGCCTATCAGCCAAAAAAGATTCTCCGGATGCATCTTGAACAGAAATTTTTATCATCTCCTGTCAGTGTTTGGAGTGAAGAGGGGGCTATATTGCACCACTTCCTGTGAGATATTGATATTTCGTGCTTTGAGCTCCACTTCCTCAGTAACTATGCTAATAAGGCACAATCTGCCAAGTAAGACTTTGTGGTGCAACATTTATGCTGTTTTCTGCTATTAACTGAAAAATCAGCAAAAATGCAGGGTAAATTGTATGGAACTGAGGTACATGCTCTATTGATGTGAGTATGTTGCCAGATGTGATAGAATATTTATGTTCTATTTTTAAGATTTTCATTGGGTGAAAGGATCTGGTGATGCTTTGGTCTTCGTTTTTCATTTGTCTGAGGTCCTAACTACACTATAACTTTAAATAACTATATTCTTATATCCCACCACCATCTCCCCGAAGGAACTTGGAACGGGTTACAGATGGCACAAGGTGCCTAAAAACAAACACAAAAGTGAATATAATATATATAAAAATAAAACACATGCACATATAAAAATATCAATTCAAGCTCAATTAAGCTGCGATCCTCTAACCGTGGTGGTAAATTACTGGCACTACGGCCAGGCTTTAAACATTGGAATAAAATAAGAGCCAGCTGCAGTAATGGAGAGAGGGCACCGGATAAAGTGCAGGATGTTCAACTACTATGTAGGATAAGTAGTGTTGAAATATTCTCAAAGGTTTGATTGAAAAGCCACGTCTTCAAGTCCCTACGAAAGGAGGACAGTGTGAGGGCCTGTTTAATGCAGCGTCAGGCTGACTTGAAAAGGGCAGCTACAAAATGCATGCTACCAATGTGAGCTGCAGCAGGAATCAAGACTGGAAGTCTTCAACTCACAGACAGTCTTTTAAGGAGACAGAAAAATGTTCTGGACTTGAGAATTTTTGACATTCTTGTCCACAAAAGTAAGTTCTGCAAACTGAAGAACTTGACTGGTAGAAGCAGTGCCCCTCTTCTTTCAATAGTTTTCTCTTGTTAACCGATGCCCATACCTGGCCATGTTCCTCTTTCTGCCTTCTTTTTACAGTTAAGTTGTGGAATTCACCCTTAGCTCCCCAAGATTGCCAACTATTTCTGGGCATGGGATATGGTGATAATGGTTCCAAAGAACAATATAGACCAAAAGGATAATCCTACCTATGCATGGATATTCAGAAGCAAGCCCCCTTGAGCATAACAAGACACTAAAATGCTGAGAAATTACAATCACCACTACTGCCAACAACAATAATGTTTATTTTTACTTTTATCTCTTGATTGAGACCCAGTGTAATTCACAATATTAAGAAAAAAACAATACAATTAAAATCTACAGCATAGAATTATTAAAACAGAATTAATCCTGCAAATCAGTTAAAATCACTAAAACACTTAGCAACTGTGAAAAGAAGTAAAACACTATAAAGCATCCTGTGTCTCATTCTTAAAACCTTTCTTCTTTAATAGCATGACTAAATGAAAATATATTTACTTTCCCTCAGAAGGACAATAAGGAGGGGGCTATTTTATCCTCCCTAGGCAGGGAGTTCCAGAGTCGGAAGGGCGGCCACCGAGAAGGCCCTCTCAACTGTGCTTGCAATGGTGGTGAGGTGGAGAAGGACCTTCCCTGAGGATCCTAGGGCCCAATTTTTAGTCATGATTTGAAAGTTTTCTTTGTAGAGGGAGCAAAGGAAAAGAGATAGTGGCAGGAAAAAGAATAAGCATGGCTAGGAGAAGTGGAGATTGCAGGAGAAGAGAAAATGAGGAATGACATAAGACAGAAGCACATGTAGCCTAGAGAATTGGAGATGAGGAAGAAGGACAAGAGGGAGGGATGGGGACTAATGAAGAAAATAGAATAAAATTATAACTGGAAGAGTGGGGAGAAAAGAAGAGAAGGGAACAGAAAGAAAAAAAGGATCTATTTAGCTGGATGGAAGAGAAAAAGGAAGAAGGAGCTGCAGGGGAATGAGGAAGAAGATGAATATACATAGATGCTGCAGTGTAATCAAAGGTGAACCGAAGAGAACAATAAAGAGAAGGAGAAAGGGAAGATGTTTATCCAGGGACATAGGGTGGGAAGAAAGAAGGAGAGAAAAGGACAGTGGAAATGCATATAGGCAGGAATTGAGAAGGGAAAAAGAGAAAGGTGAAAGAGAGACACAGAGAATGAGAAAGAAGGAAACATTTGGCTAGGAGTTATATGTGTACAGGTGGAGGAGGGAGGGAGACATTTAGGAAGGAGTTGTGGTTGTAGAGGAGGAAAAAGACTAGAACAAGAGGGATGGGGGGGAGGGAAAAAAACGAATGGAGGCAGGGGACAGATTGAGAGCAGGAAGGAGAAGATGTTTTGCTGGGATTTGCAGGAAAAAAGAAGAGAACAAATATCAAGAATTAAAATAAAATGGAATGAAGTGCCTAAGCAGAGCTAATGAAGAAAGTCATTTGAATGATGTTGTTACATATAGGACTAAATTGAAGCAGTATTCACTTACCCATAAACAATTGATTCCAATGGATTGATTTTATTGGTTTTGTATGGCTTTATATTATATGTTAAATGTTTTAAATTATATTTTATGTTGTTGGCATCGAATTGTGCCAACTGTAAACCGCCTTGAGTCGCCTTCGGGCTGAGAAAGGCGGTATATAAATATGGTAAATAAATAATAAATTGGTTGTTGCTACTCAATTTGGGACTTATAAGCAGGCTTTCGTCAAAGTACAATACATTACAGTGCCATTTATGTGTACAACAACTGGATTTTTCAGCCTTATAGATTACAGAACTAAATAATAATGAAAATAATAATGAAAACAACAACAACAAAATGCCCCAACAAAAACATTCTTAATGTCTTGGTTTTGAGGCCTGTTTTTGAAGTTATTTGGGGTGCTGACTCATAAAATTGCATTAGAAAGATCACATCAACTCTTGTTTCTTAGATATGGCTATCATGGCAAGCAGATGACTATTGCTAGATGCCATATGTTCTGTATCTCAAAAACTAGAGCTGATAGGGGAAAAGTGGTGCTATTTTTTCAATTAGCAGGCCAAATATACCCAGATACAGGTGTAACATTTGGAGCAGCAAAATGTGTATTGGCCAGTATAATGATTTGTTATCCATCTCTCCTCATGGCTTGAAGTGTGGTACAACACAGTTAAAACATCCAGATAAAATGCAATACTGTTAACTATATGTATTAAAATACATAGTACAAAGATTAAAATACAATGCTAATAGAACATACATTTTAAAATCTCTGTTTAAAAATGGACTTGGTTGGTCTACTAGTACATATACCTGGGAACTAAATAAAAATCCACATTGAGTGATATCACAAATCTCCAACCCATAAAAATCTAATATGCTAAGTTGATCTTACTATTTTCCCTAATATGTGGCTGGAATCACTGTGTTGCTGTGAGACATTCCATAGATATATAAACCCCACTTGCCTAGTTTCCAACAGACCTCACAAATTTTGAGAATGCCTGGCATAGATGTGGGTGAAATGTCAGGAGGGAATGCTTCTGCCATATATCCTGGAAAACTCACAGCAACACCTTCATATATCAATTGCCTTACTCCCAAAGTGGTAGTTTCAGATAAAGTGTGAAACCTTTTCTTCTTGATTGTTGAGTTTGCTCATCTGCTTAGAAACAATGGTAACTGTCAGCTTTGTTGCCAATGGGATGGTGAATCCATTCAAGGATTTAGTCTCTGAATCTTAAGGGATTGTTTGGGATACAGAGTCCTATCTCCAAAACATTTTTCAGCACCTTGGATAGTTCCTTTAACATCCATAGTGGGTGGTACTGCCCTGCTGACATTAGAGACACCACCTGCCACAATGTGTTTTATTACAGGTAATGGAGGCGCACAGACCCTGAAGCTGTTTCAAGAATGGGAGGCTATTATGAATGTTGTGTTCTTGGATACATGTTTTTACAAAACACTAAATAAAAAGAACAATATCAATATCACGAATTTGACAGGGGTCCTCAATTTCACCGAAGTCTTGATGGACCAAAGGATGATGAACAAAAGCCCTACCAAACACACATTGTACATATCACTAAGTCTGGTCTCTGTCCTTTTTTAATGGTCTAATGGCAGGCGACAAGCATGTTATGTATTAACTCCATACAATGACTTGTAAAAGAAACAGTTGTGCTATACCATTTAATGTATG